TCCCTCCCTCCCTCCCTCCCCCCCTCGCTTTCTCTCCCCTCAACTTGCTGTACAAATAAAACAATTTACCACTGGGGTGGATTTGACTTTCTCTCTTCTAGCCTATAGCCTTGAAGTTTCTTAGTGGCTTCCCAGCTAAATTGATCAAATCCTGTTCAGTAATTTTTAAAGTTCATCCATGAGCTGGATGCTGGTATTTATTGTGATATCTTTTGTAAAGATAGCCAAGTTTGATTTCTGGTGGTTTTCTTGATAACAGCATGACTTGTTATCGCTGCTTTGGGCATTGTTTTCTCACCTAGTTTGTACCCCTGGTACATCTGTACACAACTAATTACACTAGAAACAAAACTTCCTATTTCTCTTGCTAGCAACAAGATACTGCTATTCTCAACATACCCTGGAATCCAATGGAAAGAGTGTATCAGTCACCAAGCGATGCGTGCCACTGGAGGATTGTTTGACTACGGGATGCATTGCTCTCCAGCATAAAGGACTCAAGGTTAGGAGAAGAGCTGAAATAAATTGGTGCATTGGCTCTTTTTCATACATTGTGAGAGGCCGTTTCATGGCCATAATTTGGTTGCTTTGTTTTACATTGCAATTATCTTTGCTACGTAGACCTTTTTGGAATTCTCAAAATGAGAAAGATTTAAATGAAAGAAATTGTTGAAGTTAAGAACATGACCAATGCTGATGGCTTGTAGTAGAGAAGATAGGTTTACTAGAAACCCTGGGTGAATGCTGATGATTACTAAGAGGCATCAATCGGAGAGGTGAGAAAATGGAGGTTCTCAACTCAAAAGGGTTGCAGCCAATATATGTTACTCGGGATGTTACTAACAATGGCCTGGACATACAGCAGAGCAATAGCAATAGCACTTAGACTTTATACACCGCTTCACAATGTTTTACAGCCCTCACTAAGCAGTTTACAGAGTTCCCCCAACAATCTGGGTACTACATTCTAACCACTGCGCCACCATGGCAATAAGTTCCTATTTTCAGATGGTCACCTAAACTAATTCATGCGGGTAGAATGTTCCACATAAAATATTCCAAACCAGGGGTGAAATCAACTTACCTTCGCTACCAATTTGCAAATGTGAGTGCATGTGCAGGATCTTCCGTGCATGTGCAGAGCATAAAAAATGGGACATGATGACATCCGGGCGGGTGGGCAGAGCCTCCCGCTGCCACCACTACCATTTCGCCTGAACTGGATAGAACTGGCTGAATGGCCCCACTGTTCCCCACACTCAACATTGCTATCAGAGCAACTTTCCTGGAGTTCTTGAAGGTTTCTCTAAAGTTCATTTTAAGGAACGCTTGTCCCCCTTTGTAAAATGGAAATGCATATTTCTGAATTTCATAATTGGGTCCCACTGCAGCAGTAACAAGGATTTCCAGCCAATGTTAGAAAATTGATAGAAGAACATTTATATTAAATCTGAATGTAACTTTCTTTCATTTTGTATGATGCTTCCACAGTTACCATATTTTTCGGAATATAAGATGCAACGGAGTATAAGACGCACCAAGGTTTTGAAAAGGCAAATTTAAAAAAAGTAGGTAGGTAGATAGAGGGAGAGAAAGAGAGAGAAATACAGTAGGTAGGTAGGGAGAGAGAGAGAGGGTAGTTAGGGAGGGAGGGAGGTAGATAAAGGGATAGAGAGAAATAGAGAGATAGAGAAATACGGAAGGGAGGGAGGGAGGGAGAGAGGATAGGTAGGTAGGTGGGTAGGTAGGTAGAGGGATAGAGAGAGAGAAATAGGAAGAGATAGAGAGAGAAATACAGTAGGTAGATAGGGAGAGAGAGTAGGTAGGTAGATGTTTCCAGGCATATTCATCCATGTGCTGGAGAAGGAAACCCTAACTCTAAGACTTTGTTTCTGCTGGCACAGCACTTAATCAATGTAATTCTCATCAATCAGAGCTTTCCAAAAGGGGGAAAAAAGTTTTTGCACTCTGCAAACCTCCCCAAAACAGCCCGTTTTTCTTTCTTTCTTTCTTTTTTTTTAAAAAGGCATGAATAGCCCCTCGGGGGTGTGTGTGTGTGAAAAGAGCAAAAAATGACTCGTTTTTCATCAAAAAAATTGCATGCATAGCCTTGTGGAGGCTTATAGAGTGCTGCTGGGGGCTGGGGAGGGGGCAAAAATGGTCTGTTTTTTGCTCATTTCTGCCCTCCCCAGCCCCCAGGAGCTCTCTGAAAGCCTCCATAAGGGTATGCACGGCCATTTTGGTGAAGGGGCGGGGATTCTGGAGGCAAAAAATGCTGTATTGGATGTATAAGACACATCCAGATTTTCAGACTCTTTTTTGAGGGAAAAAGGTCTGTCTTATATTCTGAAAAATACGGTGACTCTTGTGCTGTTGTTGCTCTAGTGCCACCTAGTGGCCGGGGGCAGATAAGCCTAACTGTAAGGTCTGAAGCCAGGCTCCATTTTCTGTCGGCCTTTGGAGAAGACGGAAGCAGCCGTTGTGACCGAGACCCCTGGTCATCCGGAGACAAACTCCGTCCCTCACACTGAGCATCACTGGAGAGGTTCCAGCTGCTTCTTTGCTGGCTGTTAGTTAATGCTGCCTATCTCGTCTTTCTATTTTATTTCCACTCTGTGCATCTCCTCAGTTTCCCCTTCTCTCTTCTCCCAATAAAGCATCCAGATCCACACCAGGCTCCCTTTCATTGGAGGAAAATAGGGGGGCTTAGCTGCCTGTCCAGTGCACACATACCCACGTGCAATGGGAATGGAAGAAAGGTGGAATTCCACC